GGGGGGGGGGGGGATTAAATCGCTCTTTGAGTCTGTTTGTGTGTTTGCTCACAGGCGACAGTTCAGCCGACTCCACGAGGAACGAGTGCTGTAATAATTAAGACCGGCCTTGACCGGGGCCTCCAGCCCGGGTCAGTGTGTCTAGTATTATTTGGAGCTGTGAGTTATGCCCCCTGTGGATTAGAATGAGCATTGATTAGATCGGCTGGGGGACAATTTAATCTTTTTTGATTTATTCATTCACACCAATATTCTGGAGACCAGTTTTTAAGATCACACTCATCATCTGTTCTTCATCTTCATCTTTTGGCATCGACATTCACTGCAACATGATTTTAGTGCAGATTTAAATTAAAACATCTTTAAATTCAGGCACTATTCAGTGCGAGGTTGTAAAGGCGGCAGCCCGTCTTGTGATCTCTCTCTATTTATAATCTCTTTTGAAGTTGTGATGCTTGTGCTGCGGACTGCTCGGCTGCTTATTTCTTCTCAACAGCTCTCACTTTCTCCATCACTGAGATATTTTCTTTAATGAATATAGGTGTTGTTTTACAGCCCTCTGAAATGATGCACTAATGTTCATGAATAATATTTCAATGCAACACAACAAGCACGACAGTCAATTAGTTATTTAATATACGCACCATGTTTGCACCTCTCTCGCTGCGTGCAAATCAAATAACATTTATGGGGCTTGTTCATTCATTCATTTCAAATATGTTTGGGCTGTGAAGAGATGCATGTTATGGACCTTCACTTTAGCAAAACTGGTGTAAAACATTGTTGTGAGCAGCGGGAGACAAAATGTATTAAATTCACCGGGTGAGGGGAAAAGATTAGCTTTAGACAAATGGAAAGCTCCAATGAAACTCATGACAATGTTTTGCAATTACCAAAAAAGTGAAAGGGAGCGGACAAGTTTCTGTCATAGAAGCTGAAATACACGCACACACACACACACACAGTGTGAAATGACACATTTCTGCTCTTCTATATCGTACTACATTTCTGACAGTGATTTTAATGAACAAATGTGGAATTTCATCTCTTGGACATGAATGAATTTCCGTGTGTTTGTGAGTGTGTGTGTGTGTGTGTGTGTGTGTGTGTGTGTGTGTGTTATGGCGTGTATATGCGTGCACTACTGTTACACTCCAGTAAAACACGATCTCATTTCCTGCTCGTGTCTGACACTGTAAGTCAAGGCCGTGACGTGTTGGCTGTCACTTTACAGCCTATAATCAATCTGTCTTTTGAGCATGTGTAATAAACTCTTCAGATACATGATTGCACATCACGCCAGCTATTAAAACACACGCACATAGATAACTCACAGAATAACAGATACGTTTGATATCCATCCTGCTCTTAGCTAAGGAGGAGATGGACATACATGTGTGTGTGTGTGTGTGTGTGTGCAGGTTTCAGAGTGTCTGCCATTGTCAAATGATGAAATGAAAACAAACCCTCAAGTATTCTCCTGCTCATACTTTCTCACTTCCCCCCACCATTCCTCCATCGTCTCTTCTCTTTCCCTTCAAGGCTGAATTCAAGCTACCTCACAATCCTCCCCCAACACAAGGCCAAATTAGATTAACCCTGTGTGTGTGTGTGTGTGTGTGTGTGTGTGTGTGTGTGTGTGTGTGTGTGTGTGTGTGTGTGTGTGTGTGTGTGTGTGTGTGTGTGTG